GTTAAGGGCTCTGTTAAGGTAGGAGCTGCTCCCCTCCATTATATAGGAGAGTGAAACCCCCCAACCCACCCCCTGGTCAGCACCCACCCACCAGAGCTTCTGCCCTTGGAGTTGCACCCTGGTTGCCAGAGGCTTTTGTGTCTGTTGGGCATCCCCAGGGAGCTCAGGGGCTCTCTGCTGCTGACTGTGGGCACTGCCACAACAGCCTTTGGCTCCAGCCAAACTGAAACATAAACTGCAAAATACAAATGATGTGTGTTAGGTGGGGAAAGGCAGCAAGTGGCAGCAAGTGACAGCAATGTTTGCAATTGCACTGTTAAGGCAATTAGCCTGTCTGGTCCTTGGCAGTAAGGCTGTGTAAAAATGCATGCCTTCATCTCAACTGGGAACTGGATGGGGACCTGGGTGTGCCATGATGAGGCTGCTCATCTTTTTGACACAGCAAAAGCACTGGTCTGGGTGCTGGGGCCTTGATATTGAGCACCCTCTTGCATTTGTCCGGCTTGCAAACAGAAAACAAGAGTTAACATGATAGCACAAATACTTGGAAAGCAATTCTACTGTAAGATGTGTTAAAATATCCTTGACTCAAAAAAAAAAAACCAAAACTGTACAGGAGTGAGTGATGGTGGGAAAGCTATCAAATGCCCAGGCCTGCCAGCGTTGAGCTGATAGTAAATGACCAGGTCACTGCAGCTCAGCAAGGCTCTGCTCAGCCTCTTCATCCAGCAAGGACAGCTCTCTCCTGGGATAAAGAAATAACCAGTGACAAAGGACTTCCTGGGATGACAGCAGTGACTTGTGCTTTGGTAAATTTGCTCAAACCTTAAGCTCTCTGCAGAATTCCGCAGTGTTTTGTAGCGAATACGTTACAGCATCAACCCAGCCTCCATAAAACCTGCATTTAAAAACTGATGCCTTTAAGTGGAAGAGGTAGTCTTAAGTGGCTGAGCTAGGCAATTAATTTCTAAGCATTTCCAGTCTGGACCAATCCAGCTGCTAAGCTCTTAGAAACACTGCCTTCAGTTAACACCTGTGAGACACCTGTGGTAGGTCACCATTACTCTTCCAGTTTGTACCAGGTGAGAAAACAGTCATGAATGAGGGTTTTTTTGTTGTTGTTGTTTAACTCAATTATACAATTGGAGGGAAGGCTCTCCTGGTTTGGGAGCTCCTATGGATGATACACGTGTGAGGAGTGCAGGCCCTGTTGGTGTAGGTCAGTGCTATTAATTGTTTGGCATCATCACCCAGCACAAACTGTGCTGTGGATACAAGCTCACCTGCTTTGTTTCCTATGGACCTGCAAAGGCCCAAATTAGCATACATGCATACAGAGAGTATTCACTGGGGAGAATCTCCAAAGTGAGATTAAAACCAGAAGCAAATATGCAGATATGTTGTCTTATTGCTTCTCCAGATGAAAAGAAGAGAACAGCAGTCCTCTCCTTCAGTTCACTCCTGGCATGTCCCTGTGCTGCTTCTCTGGCTGGAAGCAGGATCAGACAGGACATGGCGGAGCCTCTTGTAGCCTTAATTAATGTTATTTAGAAAAAAAAACATTTTTTCCCATGGTGTATTCTTAAAAAAGAAGCAGAACAAAAAACAAGCCATACAACAAAAAAAAACACTAGTAAAAATGTACATCTTGTCTCTTCCATCTGTGCAATGGGTATAAAAACCAGACAGTTGCTACCTGCTGTTATAGCGACAGGGCAAGAAAGGGCACGAGTGTGAAGACCTGTATATACACAGCCCACATCTCTGCATTAAAGCTGTTACCAGCTCTTCCTGGCTGGTGGGCAGGAGCAGCTGAGGTAGCTGCGGTGACAGCTGCAGTCCAGAGAGCTTCTTCAAGCTGTAATGTTTTCTTTATGAGGCAGTCATTTCTGCAAGGGGTTGGCTTTTATATGTATCACCATAACGAAAATTTTAAAAAACACTCAGTGTTCCTGCACGTATTTTTCCTGTTGCTGTTGTGCCCAGCCCTGAAAGAAGGGGAAGGTGTTCAGTGATGTCCCTCAAACACCATGCCTGCACCTCGATGGGCTTTGACTGCTGCACTGACAGCACAAGCACTGCAGGGAGCAAGTGGAAATGGGCCCTTGGGGCTCTTGGACCAGGAGAACGTTTCTGAGCTATTGCTGCTGCATGGCCCAGCCTATGTGTTGAGCACAGAGACCCTGTCACATCCACCAGAGGCAAACTGCTGTAGCTCTGAAACAAGAAACTGCGCATCTTCACCAGGATGCATTTTGCCTTGAGAGCTGGAAAGAAAAGGTTGTAACGTTAAGAGCATCTAAGAAATACCACGTATTGCTTTTCCATAGCAAAGGTAAGAGATCTGGGCAAATACTGCTGGTACCTGCAGTCTGGGGGAGACTACATTAGTGGTTAGCAGCTAAGCCTTTCCTCACTGGTGAGGTGTTGCACAGCCCTCAGCAGTCAGTGCTTAGAAGCACACTCAAAAGCTCCAGTCGTTCCCCCTGCACCCAGAGCAACGTGAGAGTCCGCTGTGTTCCTTAATAACCCGGCACAGATGGTACATTGCATGCTTTGAAGGACTCTGACCCGCTTCTCTGCTTAGTGCAAAACCTGCTGCTGCTTCTCAGTGACAGAAAAACAAGAAAATGTCCTGTTTGGGCTAGATTGAGGTCTGTAATCCTGGTGCCATCAGTCAGATCAAAAGGCCAATTCCTTAAAAAGGAAAAAGCTCAGCTGTAATACCATGAATATATACACATGGATAAAGCAGAGAAGGCTTTGACGTTCAGAGCTCTTTGTGCAACATTCCTGTCATGTCACAAACACATCAGCCTAAATGCTTTACTCATTGTGTTACACTCCAAAGCAGGGCCTGATGCTGCCCATGAAGACCAACAGCACACAGAGCTGCCACGTGCTTTGCAAAACTTGACCTCAACCAGACAGCTTGGTAACAGTGCAGGTACATGGTTTAACATCATATACCTTCAGAACAGGGAGAATCAATGCAGACTTTCATTTTAGGGTCATTTTCCTACTGAGCACCATTCATCCTGAGGATCAAATCTGTACTTTGACATATTTATAGTAAAAACTTTGGTGCAAAGTTGTGACCGTAGGCATGTGCGTGAATTTCTGAATCAAGGAGCCCATGTGCCCCTATCACTACCTTAAAGGATCAGTTTGGGATGTTATCCAGAAATACAGCCCAACAAACAGCAGCCCTTAAGACAAACAAGCTTTAAACTGCATTTCTTTGTTTGTATCATTAGATATGATGCAGCCAAAGTTCACAGTCGCAAGGCTGAACACTGGCTAGCTGGAAAAGCTGTAACAAATGAATGGTGTCGCTAAATTAAACCTATGTTGGCTAACAGCTATGGGCTGCAGTGGCATTCAGAGCCATGGAGTGTGCAATTCTCTGGCCACCACCAGGACGGGGGCACGCAGGTGGTTTGTGGCTGCTGAGAGAGCTTTGGTAGTGCTCTTGCTCCCAGCATGCATGATGGGTTTCTTTCCCTTTGCTCACTTTTTTGGGCATCACACATAACAGGCAATGCATATGGGCTCCCTGTCCCTTCCATCTCCTCTTCTTCCCCTCAGCTTACATTCAGAAACTCAGAGAAGGGTGCAGAATTCTGGTAAGCAACGTTTTGCCCTTGATATATAAAAGTGTATTTTGCAAAGATGGTGGTGTGGGTAGAAGGCATGTTCTTCAAAGACAGGTTTTACATATGAGATTGCATGTTGGGTCTGCTCTCTCCAGCAGCATTCTTTGGGAACAGCACAGTGCCACACCACCTGTGTGACTTTGGTGATATGCTACAAGAGAAGCGTTCATTTGGACAAGGAAACGCCAGCATGGCACCCGTGGCATCGTCACTGCAAGCAGAAATGTAAGCAAGAGCAAAAAGCTTGGTTTGGGGTATTGCTGAAGCAGTAGGCAAATATGCAGCTGTGATGCTGAGATCAGGGTGCCCCTGCTCCTGAACCCACTCACAGTCTGGACTGGCAGAAACCTTTGTGCTTGCAGCTTTGCATCATATCCTCTCTCTTTCTCCCTCTCTCCCCCAGAGCAATGCCATGTGGCTTCTGCCTTTTTTTATTCCCTTGTCCGCCTGTTTTTCTCGTATGTGTGGGCTGGAGATTTGGTCACGCTGTGTGCCTGCAGACTCACCCACAGGACAGATAGGAAAGAGCAGGAAGGCAGTGTTGTTCCTGGAAATGTAGCTCTTGGGCTGCAGTTACACATAGAAACTCGGTGTGTGTGCTGGCGTGTTGCTGCATATGACAGCAGGCATCACTCCCAGTCATTACCAGGTCTGGATGCCACGGTGTGACAGCCCGTTCTCTTGGTTATCACCACACTTGTGTGCTACCTAGAAATACATCACCCAGCTGCCTTACCTGTGAAATGCCAGTGGGCTGCTGGAGAGCGCTCTGCTTTGCAGGGGGAGAGCACTGAGCTTCTCCCCGGGCGGGCTTTCTCCCTCCACACGAGTGAAAGGCAGGGCAGGAACCTGCTCATCTCCTTGTTCTGCCTTCTGCAGTGGGCAGCACGTAGCCGGGGCTCCCTCCCCTTGGGACCCACCCTGTGTGCTACCTCCACGTGCTCCGAAACGCTTCTTACGGCGCTGGCAGCGTGTTTGTGAGGTCTGCTGGGACAGTCAGGCTGGCTTTAAGTTGGGCTTGGAGCTGAGCAAAGCTCAGGAACAGAAAGCATTTTAAAACCATGTTTCACAGAAGACTTGATCTGAGCTCCATTTGCAGCACTTGCAAGGCAGCATTTTGTCAGCATTGAACCTCCAGCTGCTCAGTTATCATTTCACTCAGCTCAGATGGAGGACACAGAGCAAGGGGGAGGTGGGATATTTCCCAAACATTCGTCTTTTTGGTTACACACCACCGTCGTGGTGTTTTGCTGACAAGCTGGAGCCCCACCCCAGCGATTCAGGCTCAGCCTTTGGGAGAAGAGTGAGACCGCTCTGAGGAAAATGATTTAAAATGCCTTCAGATGCCTTTTCACTTCTTTTTATTTAATTCCATAAATATTTTCATAAGGCTCAGTGTCTTTACAACACTTTTTTAAACACTTTTTTTTTGTTTGTTTTATACACACAACTTTGACACTTGTTTGACAGGGTCAAACAGTCCAATATAAACAAAATAATAAAACTGGCAAGTGCGGATCAGCTGGGTTACCAAAATCCTTTTTTTTCTTTTTTTTTTCTTTTTTTTTTTTTTTCTCTTACTGTTAAAACCCCGAAAGCACTAAAATATCAGTATTTGGCTTCAAACTAGAATTTTAAAAACCTTTTTTTTTTTTTTTAATTTTTTTTTTTTTTAAATTCTCTGCTACAAGTCCCTGTCATCATAGTGCCTTTAGACTCCTACAGACTCTTCTTTTCTTCTCAAGGAAAAATAAGCTCAGTGATGCCATGCAGAACTTACAATAGCTACTAAATATACATGTTCCCTGAAATGTAGCTGCGATGAAAAGATGACAGAGCATAAAGAGAACAAAACCAGAAACCCAAAGCACCACAGTGTACTATCAATAACATTGCAATGGATGGCCAGTGACCATCCAGAAACTGAAACAGATTTCAAATATATTTCTCTATGTATTATTTTCTATTTACAACTGTTAGATGCACCTAGGTTGATCCTTGTTTGATTGTTTTGGAGAGGGTAGGGAGGCAAAAGTCTTGAATTTAGATCCTCTGTTCTAGAGTCTAGGTCAAGGGGTAATGCATGTCATTTACCTAGGGAAGAGGGTATTTTTTGTTGTTTTCTTTTTTTCTATATATATATATAGTTTCAGCCAGAGAAAAACCGTAAACATGTAAGTTTGTTACAACTCTCTCATTTCTGCGTATGGAATGGTAAGTAAGTGGGTTCCTCCTGTCTGGCATTGAAATGAAAGTCTGTATCAGATGCTCGGTCAAAATCACCCCGATCTGACAGCATCTGTGCTGCTTCCAGCACTTTCAGACACAACGAGGCAGCCCAGCCCCGCTCCCTATTGGGAAAGCCACGGTGGGTAGTAAAAGTGGGACCCAGTGCTGGTTCTTCTTTGCGATAATGCTCCATCTCTTGCAGCACCTTGGCAATTTGTGGAAGGGAAGGGAAGGGCTTTCTTGAGCGCCATGTCTGAGAGCCAAGCCCCTCTTCCCTCTGGAACAAGCGGCTGCGGCTGCTCTGCCTGCCGCCCGGCTTCGGCAAGCGCTAGCGGCGCTCGTTTGTTTTGGCTTTCCACTTAAGAAGGAAGCTGCGAGTCCAACAAGTGGCCTTGTCAGATCGAGCGAGTCTTGAGTTATGATGCAAATAATGGTGTGGCGGTGGAGTTTCTTTTTTCCTAGCGCTGAATATTTAGGAAGCATCTTCTCATAAAAATTATGGATGTCTCATTCTCACTCTCTGAGGCACAAAACAGTAAATGAATAGGCTTAACTAATGTGCTTGTTACTTTTTTTTTTTTTTTTCCCCTAAGCAATTAAAAAGGAAAAGGAATAAGTGAAATTTCCATCACGCTGACAACAGATTGTAATCTCTCTCTCTTTCTCTCTCTCTCTGCATCTCTCTCCAGCCATTCAGAAACAGTGAAACATTTCAGTTAACTTCTGCGAACCGATTCCATTCACTTCTCTAAATAACCCATTCTGTTAAGCAAACATAATAACTGCTACGTGTTCAGTATGAAAATCCAAGCGTAAAAATGCAAAGATACAAAAGAGTATAGAAATAAGCTGTGTTACAAAATTTGGTTGCCTCCTATGCGGGATTCTCAGTGTTTCGCTGCTGCCTGTCACAGAGGGGCCACTCCTCCTCTCCAAAATGCCAACCTGGCATTGTTGCATTGATAGGTTTATAGGTGACTCTTAGGTGCTGAGATCATTTTTGTACTTAAAGAAAAAATACAGCTGCTGCCTTCTAATGTGCCCTGAAATAACCCAAGCTCCATGGAAAGACTAAAATTGCACTCTCTGCTTTTGCCATTTTCTGAAGTGATAAAAAAACATTTATCCGTGCTACTGGCCTGAGGTGCTTACATGGGGTATCAAATTGGAAAGAAAAATATAAATATCATGATCTATTATTTTGACTCACATTTTTAAAGGAGGTTGCAGAATAGCTCTGCAAAGTTTAAATTCATCTTCTAAACCTGGTTAAACAATCCCAATTGTCCTAGTGCACAATGGTTTGTTTTATGAGCTTAAACATAAGCTTTTGTGCTTGGAAACGAATGTACTTAAGGCTAAAATTGTAGGAAGTGTCTTTGAAAATACAGCTATGAATCTCCAGAGGGAGAAAAAGAGAGAGAAAGAGATCTGGAGAATTCAGCTAATCGCTCCAGAGCCCGCTGACACCGATGCCACTGCAGTTCAGATTTAACTGGTTGGTGATTTGGATTGGGTCCTGGGCATACGGCTGAACTGTTCGGGTCACATCCGTACCTTTCCTGAAAGGCAGTCCTCAACTCGTCTGCAGCTTTGGGTGCATTAAACACCGGGCAGATACTCCCAATTATCCTTCTGCTAATGGGTGCCTGCTACGCTTTGCCTGGGAGGCCAGTGCCGACGTGAAGCCGGCCATCTGACGTGCTACAGAGTCCAGCAGGCAGTGAGTGCGGGCACGGCCCTCGCTTCTGGGATCACTGCTCCTGCACACAGCCATCGGTGGTTCGTTAATGCAGCACTGTGTGGGCCTGAGTGCGGCCAACAGGATGGGACCTTAGTTCCTGAAGAAAGAAAAGTGGCCATTTGTTGGAGCCTAATAGCCAATTTTCTCTAGCTGGAATGGGGGGCATGAAGCCGTCAGTTTTTAAGCTTTTATCTTTGCACGGAAAACAAAGATAGCGGGCTTTTCAGAGAGTTGAGTCTCAGCTTAAAAAGAGAATGAATCCAAATCAAAGGTAACCCCACAGAAACAAAATTAAATGCAAAAGAAATAAAAGCCCCCAGTATTCTTTTCTCAGTCTTACTCTGAGCGTGATCACATCACACTGAATTGAGAAAAAGACAGTGCTTCAAAAATGCAATAAGTTAACTGAGGAAAACCCATCTCTCGCTTCCTAAATAGCTGCTACCCCTTCTGCTTGTTTTCACCTGCCCGCAACAAAACAGTTAAAGCCAGAGAAATACTGCGCAGCAGAGCATGGTGCACAAGGGAGCACATCCAGACAGGCACGAGTCAGACCAGAGAATGCAGGACAGGGACGGGAAAGGATCGATGCTCTTCACTGAAATGATAACTCTGGGACAGCCAAGGAAGGGATGGAGAGGGAGGGAGACGGAGCAGAGATCTCCCAGCACCCCAAAAAACAAACAACCCCCCCATAAATAAAATAAAACAAAATATACACCAACATAGTCCATGAGGAACTTCGATGAAGAATTCACACAAGCAAGAAAGCATTCTGGGATGCCAATGACGACTTCAATGAAAATGAAGACAAAGAAAAAAGAAAAAAAAACAATGTCCGACCAATGGAATAAAATAAAAAAGGTCACATGATTAGAAATCATTGGTGCTTCCTAGTATCTAGTAGCAGACTGCTTCCCAAAAACAACAAAAAAAGTTTTTGGTCCTTCTATATATATACATATATGTATATATATATGTATTATTTTTTAAATGTGTATATATATATATATGTATATATATTTAGTTGCAACAGTGCTTCTCCGAAAAAAGGTCCATCTATAAATATAATTTTATTTATTTTTATTTTTTTAAGTTCTTTTAAGTTAAAATTCTCCATCTCTCTAAGTATTATTTTTTGAATGGTGTTAACCTGCTGAAGTTTTGCCAGAATGGTGCCTGGCTGCGTCTGGGTTCGGTGAACTCGAAGACCTGGGACTGGGATATGCCATCTGTCACCATGTATTGTCCCTGATTTAATGGATCCTGGGGTGGTGGGTAGGCTGGAGGAACCGACTTGGAGTAGCTCACACCTGCATCGATGATTGGGGGGAAAAAGAAACAGATCAGTCAAAGTGCAATTGGGTCAATAGTCTTTCTCCGTCATGCTATCGCTTCTTATCACTTTATAACCAGGGTCCCAAACAACAGGGAGACATGCTAGAGACAGCAGATCTATGGAGAAGTGCAGCAGCTGACTGAACTCCCAGCTCAGAGGCTACCTACGCTAGACCACAAGCTGAAGATCAGGTAAAGATCCATTACTTTTTTGTATTGGCAGAGTTTTGCCTGCCCTCATGGAAAAGTCCTGCATGACCTAGCAAGACACAAACACGTGGCCAAGCCGTACACACTCAGTCACTCAGACAAAGGCGGAGAACCACTGCAGTTGATCCCGCTCTCAAATCTAGCACCTGCAGTTTCCAAGCTGGGTTTTGCCCTCCCTCCCACGTAAACTCAGCAGGCAGCTGTGTCCCAATGCATCCCTGTGACCGGCCCTGGGCACCAGCTCTTGTGCCAGAACGGGACAGAGCATGGCAGCCTGGGAGGAATCTCCTGCAGGGACCTGTGTCTCTTCAATGCTATTCAGCCGATACAAAGGGCAGCTCTTTATGTCCGAAGGTTTGTAGGACTTTTCCATAGGGTATTTGTGGTGGTGTTTTTTTTTAATTTACTGGTCTTGTTTCAGCCAAAAATGGCTATAGGCAATGCAGAAAAGGCAGCTTCTGCTCAATCCAAATGGGTAGCAATGGAAAGACTGGCAAGGATACATTGCCAGGGTCTGTCTGTGTCTTGGGGAACAATTCCCATGTGTGTGAGTCACAAGTTGTGTGCAGGAAAGGAGTAAGGGGACATTGCTCTGGCAGCTTTCTCACTAGGAAGGTGAGCTTCAGCAAGCTGGGACCTACACAGCCCATTGTAAAGGATGACGCACAAATTGCAGTTCTGGGTGAATGGGAGTGAAACGGGAGGGAGGCACGTAGCCCCCGAAGCACAGACTACAGGGAAAAGTCACAGAGCTACTTCTGCATTTCCTCTCCGCAATGCCATTGACGAGGGATAATCCCTCCTTCAGCCTCAGGGTGCTGTGATCAGCTGGAAGCCACAACTCCAGAAAAGGGCAGGAGCCGGGAGGAGCGGGGCTCTGAAGCAGGTTGCTGTAAGCTCTGGCCATCTCTGGATCCCCTCTGCTGCATGCAGAACTGCTCTTCCTTCTGTGGGGAGGGCAGCCCCGGCCGCATGACGGGTGGTAAGCTTCACAAGGGCCATCTCGAGGCCATTGCCTCCCTGGTTTTAACCGCAGGAGCGAGGTGACTCTACCAAGTAGACCAGTGTCCTCATCTGGAAAGCGGGATGGCATGACCCACCTACCTCACACGAGGGTTGTGAAGCTAAATTAATTAATGTTTGTAAAACACTTTGAGATCCTCGGCTGGGAAGGTGCTAGAGAAGGCAAAATACGGTGATTAGCACCCAGGTACCACAGCAGCGTGTGTCAAAGAAATGCGACTGCATTCAGTTAGCGGTTCCTACCCACATACAAACACATGCTTTGTGGGACCAGCACCGGCCGGCCCAGGAACAGGAGGGCTGCACACAGTTGGGTACTTACAGACAAAGGAAAAAGCCTCACAGAGTGCACTCATGGAGCTCACCTGACAATTTCTGTATGTTGCCATATTATAATCCAGGGCTTCTTTTAGATATGAAGCTACAGCTATAGGATGGCTTTAGGAGAGAGAATTAATTTGCTTCCCCTTGCTGTAGAATTTACCAATCCTGAATTGCTAAAAACTTTAAAAAGGTTCGGACCAAATAGAGATACCATCTTGACTATATCTAACTGATTTCTCCTGCTTTGCAGCAAATACCATCAAACCATGCCTCTCTCTGTTCCCTACAGAGTAACCAAGGCCTTTCCTTATGGTGGATAAAAACTGCTCTATAGTTCATTACTTGTTAACCTTTAACAAATTCAACACAGTTAATATTTCAAACTCAGTTTAAAAGAGCAGTCTGGAATTGCTTTGCAGCTTTATCTGTTACTCTCATCAATGAGTTTCCTTCTCTGTCTTTCCCAAGAGCTCTCTAGCACATCTGCAGAGTAGAGTGGGGTCAGTGCTGGGACACCTGAGTCAATTTCTGTACCATCCTTCCTGGTGGGACCCAGCGCTCAGTTTGCACTTGCCACACAGTGACTTAAGCCAGTGATGTCGCACAAGAGCAAAGCATGGACTTGAGCTCACATCTACCCCACCTCTTCCCTCCCTTCCACTGCTGTCCTGCTCCAAGTTGCCTTGCTGGAAGGCAATTCAACATGTGAACAGAGCCTGGAGAGTAAACTTCTGAAGCCACAAGTGTGAAGTCATTCCCATGAAGACCCCCAGCCATTGGTGCTTAGCTCACCAAGTGAGGAGAGGCTGGTAGGACTTTTAGAATCTGTGGCAAGATGAGGATATGGTTGTCCCTTACATGGCTGGTGTTGGGAAATAAATCCTTTTCTATTGGTACATGGTCTGGATCTTCGACCCGAAGTCGAAGCCACCAGCATAATTAAATAATGCTTCACAACACAAAAGAGCTGTGAATCTAAAGCTGCTACCAAAGGACACACAGCAGTTATTTCTAGCTTTGGAAGACCTCAACACCACAATGCTTCATAACACAGCTCTATGCCTTTTGCATCCTGTGGCTGCAGAATTGCAGCTAGCCTCATGATGCATCTGGTCTGCCATGCTGAGCCAGGCTGAGCTCTTTATTGTTTTTAAACCAATCTGTAGAGGGTGAACTGCTATTCTTTAATCACAACACAGAAATGCTAAGAAATCTCCTGGATCAGCAAAGTGTTACACACTTGGAAGGCTGGAGAAGTAGAGAAAAGACAGTCTGGCTAACATCCACTGACACTGATGGAATTACACTGCAAAGAATGTAATCCATAGTCTGTCTTCTCCAAAAGAGAAAAAAGCAGACTCCCCTGGCCAGATCACTAGCAAACCCCTTCAGTTCTTCCCCAGGAGAACCTCTTGGTCCAAACTCCTGGAAAGCCTCTACTCCCATCTGGAACATACCCATGCAAACACACATTGCCACATTCCTCGGTAAGGAAGCTCAGACCAATATTCTTCACAGTTTTTTGTCTGCCCCTTCTCAAGGATGTAGGGGTTGGTATCATTAGCATCTAAGTTGGATGAGCTTCAAAAGCTGGTTGGTTCTATTTGAATAAGCAGCCAAAGGTTTGAATATTTATCATATTTATCAAATGACGTCCATGGCCTAAATGATCAAAACTGTGCATCTCAACGGCATGCATAATCACTATGTGTTTGTGGGCATGCAAATAAAAACAATTGTGCTCTGGCAAGTCAGGCTGATAATTCCCTGAGAATACATTTTCTTATGAAGCAGTGATACAGCACTTTGCAAAAGCTAGAGGTGCCCCAAGAATGGCTTTGTTTTTGACATACCCGTGTTCTTGACAACGTGGAACACAGGAATTATGTGCGGGGGAGGCAGAGAAATTCACCTAATCTGAACATCTTCAAAAGCCAAAAAAGAGCAATTCTGGGAAAAAGTATGACAGGTTGCTGTTTTTCTGTTCCACTCTGAAGTGGTTTGTTCTCTCATCAGAACTCGGGGCTGTTGTGCAAAATTGTCTCTTGAGGGATTTTATATATGCAAAGCCATCACTTCACTGCAATTCAACAGAAAGAAACGAGCACGGCTCTTTTCCAATGCAATTTTGGGCTGGTTGGCGAACAGAATTCAAAGCACAAAGGGAAAGAATCGATAGATAAGTAATGATTTCTACACACAGCTGCTGCACTGCCTTTCCGAGGCATCAGAAAGCAGCTATACACCAATGACCAGACTTGGAGCTCCTTCTGCTGGTTCATGCATAATTCTACACTGTAGCAGAACAGAAAGGCTGCAGCTGCATAGCAAGATTGTCTAGCAGGGTAGGGGTATGGAAATCTGTTCGGAACGAGCACAAAGAAAACTCCAGGGTTTATGCTTTGGCTAGACAAAACTGGTGAAGAGACATGCTGCACTGTCAGTTGAAGTCACGTCTATTTTTAGTGCTGGGATACGTCACTTGGAATCTTTTGAATATCTCGACTCAGAAGAAAACAAAAAGATCTATCATGGTCTCTTTTTTTCCTTCTAATTCTTTTTCTTCCCTCTATCTGAGGTTACAACAGGACTTGATTACGCTTGAAGATTTAGGAGCATGCTGTTTATTCACAGGCAATCCACACAGACATGTGCAGAGAGATCCAGTTACAACCCAGTGGGATGGCTCCATTAGCACTGTGTCTCACCAGGGTGAATACAAAACATATTTACACACACACACAATACACTCAGATTTGCCTCTATAATAACCATGGAACTTGCCTTACGTCTAGATAGTTATTCCACCCCCACTCCTCAAGTTTTTATCTTAGACTTTGATCAGGAGCTCTTTCATAGGCTTTTCTCCTACCTATCCATCTAGATTTTGTGCTGCTCATTAGCCAGAGCTGCGTGGGAGACAATGAAATGTCACCACCTCATTTCCCTGCCGGCCGAGGGACTGCAGGCTGGGAGGGAAGCGGTGCTCTGCTGCAGAGCCTTCATTCCCTGCGATCTCAACAGCAGCTCATCTCAGAAATTCAGTTTCCTCATTAATATTGAAACCTATATACAACATAGGTAGCAGGGGACATACCTCAAGAACACTAATTGCTGTATGGTTAATTATTCCTGCAATAGTGACAAGTTTAGTTTGAAGAAACAAGAAGCCATGGCTCAATGGGTACAGCCCCTTGCTCTTCTTCAGCACGTTTCAACAGAGGATCTCAAAGCACCTCACCACTGTTCATTCGGTCACTGCTGTATTTAGAGTTAGCAAACTGTTCTGTATCTGACACCAGTTCTGCTGGGTGCAGGCTCTGTTGTTACAGCCAGAGGTGAGGATGGGGGCTGTGAGCAGGAAATGTCTGCCTACAGCAGCAGTCCTGAGCAGCCATGGACTGCACTGCTTTTCACC